TTTTTCTTACCATGTTTCTTTTGTCACTTGCAATTAGCTGATAACCCAGGGCCTCCATAGTAAAAATAACTCCCCCACTCGCGACTAGGTTTCTGCACTTGCATATCGTAACATTCTGGTCTCATCGCCTGGCCTGTTATATCCTTAGCATCTTCCAGGCCTCCACCATCGACTATGTATTGCAGGTTCTTAAAAGATAAAAAGCTTTTCAGGAGAGAGGGGATGCTGATGTCATGCTATATGGACGGGTTACTCATGGTTACTCACCATAAGGTTACTGATCTGATCCGCTCCACCAGGAACGACCGACCCCTCTCTCTCGTAGGGAATTTCCCTGGCCAAAAATCCCTCGCGTCAGAAGAATTCCCCAGAAACGACCGGCCGTCGGGAGTTGTCATGACCTTACTCTCTTGTCACGACCTTATTCTCGATCGTGCGGCCCTAGCTCTCAATTCTGTTAGAGCGCTAGGCAGCCTTCTCTCAACTCACTTGCAAGCAAAGAACAAAGTGCAAAGACAAAGGAAATGGAAGAACTCTCTAGTGTGTATTACTCTAAAAAATGATGGAATGAGTTACAAGTGAGGGAGATGGCTCCTTATATAGGTCTCTCCTCATACAAGGCATCAACGCCCCTCATAATGTCCCTCTACATCAATACACCCATTAAGTCCCCCCATTATACACTCTATAAATTTCACTCATTATGTGACTCATAATTGCACTATTAAGCTCTCTATTAATGTGGAGAATCCTGGGAGCATCTCTATACTACTAGTCTTCCTTACACGCCACATGTGCAACCGCCATGTTGTCACCACATGTGACAGAGTGCGGGAGGGGGAGCGTCAGTTCGACCCATTTTTTTTTTGTTTTAATATAATTGTTAAATAAAATAAATGATATAATTACTTTCTTACCCTTCATTAAATAAGATTAATTACAACCACCAGATTAAAACGTAAATGAACGGTTGATATTGAGTTAGTGGATCCCCTTCGTCATTTGATACTAGCCGGAATCAACAGGGAAACGTATCAAGATGGGAAAATTACAAACTGATCACTGTAAGTGAATAAAATAACAAATAGGGATTACAACAGTGACCAGTCCCCTACATTGCTAAAGCAGCATTATTTTGGCGACCACTGATTTCCAATTTGCCTTTCTTGTCCTTGTAGAATTTAGATGATTGATTAATACAAACATTCATTCATTAAGAAAACTTCAATAAGTTAAACAATAAATTACACATACATGGACTTTATTTTCTTATTGCGCCCTTTTCTCCTTCTTCTTTTTTCTTACCATGTTTCTTTTCTCACTTGCAATTAGCTGATAACCCAGGACCTCCATAGTAAAAATAACTCCCCCACTCGCGACTAGGTTTATGCACTTGTATATCGTAACATTCTGGTCTCGTCGCCTGGCCTGTTATATTCTTAGCATCTTCCAGGCCTCCACCATCGACTATGTATTGCAGGTTCTTAAAAGATAAAAAGCTTTTCAGGAGAGAGGGTATGCTGATGTCATGTTAATGTGGACGGGTTACTCATGGTTATTCATCATAAGGTTACTGATCTGATCCGCTCCACCAGGAACGACCTCTCTCTCTCTCTCTCGTAGGGAATTTCCCTGGCCAAAAATCCCTCGCGTCAGAAGAATTCCTCAGAAACGACCGGCCGTCGGGAGTTGTCACGACCTTACTCTCTTGTCACGACCTTACTCTCTTGTCACGATCTTACTCTCGATCGTGCGGCCCTAGCTCTCAATTCTGTTAGAGCGCTAGGCAGCCTTCTCTCAACTCACTTGCAAGCAAAGAACAAAGTGCAAAGACAAAGGAAATGGAAGAACTCTCTAGTGTGTATTACTCTAAAAAATGATGGAATGAGTTACAAGTGAGGGAGATGACTCCTTATATAGGTCTCTACCCATACAAGGCATCAATGCCCCTCATAATGTCCCTCTACATCAATACACCCATTAAGTCCCCCCATTATGCACTTTATAAATGTCACTCATTATGTGACTCATAAGTGCACTATTAAGCTCTCTATTAATGTGGAGAATCCTAGGAGCATCTCTATACTACTAGTCTTCCATACACGCTACATGTGCAACCGCCATATTGTCACCACATGTGACAGAGTGCGGGAGGGGGAGTGTTAGTTCGACCCATTTTTTTGTTTTAATATAATTTTTAAATAAAATAAATGATGTAATTACTTTCTTACCCTTCATTAAATAAGATGAATTACAACCACCAGATTAAAACGTAAATGAACGGTTGATATTGAGTTAGTGGATCCACTTCGTCATTTGATACAAGCCGGAATCAACAGGGAAACGTATCAAGATGGGAAAATTACAAACTGATCACTGTAAGTGAATAAAATAACAAATAGAGATTACAACAGTGACCAGTCCCCCACATTGCTAAAGCAGCATTATTTTGGCGACCACTGATTTCCAATTTGCCTTTCTTGTCCTTGTAGAATTTAGATGATTGATTAATACAAACATTCATTCATTAAGAAAACTTCAATAAGTTAAACAATAAATTACACATACATGGACTTTATTTTCTTATTGCGCCCTTTTCTCCTTCTTCTTTTTTCTTACCATGTTTCTTTTCTCACTTGCAATTAGCTGATAACCTAGGACCTCCATAGTAAAAATAACTCCCCCACTCGCGACTAGGTTTATGCACTTGTATATCTTAATATTCTGGTCTCGTCGCCTGGCCTGTTATATCCTTAGCATCTCTCAGGCCTCCACCATCGACTATGTATTAAAGGTTCTTAAAAGATAAAAAGCTTTTCAGGAGAGAGGGGATGCTGATGTCATGCTAATGTGGACGGGTTACTCATGGTTACTCATCATAAGGTTACTGATCTGATCCGCTTCACCAGGAACGACCGACCTCTCTCTCTCGTAGGGAATTTCCCTGGCCAAAATTCCCTCGCGTCAGAAGAATTCCCCAGAAACGACCGGCCGTCGGGAGTTGTCACGACCTTACTCTCTTGTCACGATCTTACTCTCGATCGTGCGGCCCTAGCTCTCAATTCTGTTAGAGCGCTAGGCAGCCTTCTCTCAACTCACTTGCAAGCAAAGAACAAAGTGCAAAGACAAAGGAAATGGAAGAACTCTCTAGTGTGTATTACTCTAAAAAATGATGGAATGAGTTACAAGTGAGGGAGATGACTCCTTATATAGGTCTCTACCCATACAAGGCATCAATGCCCCTCATAATGTCCCTCTACATCAATACACCCATTAAGTCCCCCCATTATGCACTTTATAAATGTCACTCATTATGTGACTCATAAGTGCACTATTAAGCTCTCTATTAATGTGGAGAATCCTAGGAGCATCTCTATACTACTAGTCTTCCATATACGCTACATGTGCAACCGCCATATTGTCACCACATGTGACAGAGTGCGGGAGGGGGAGTGTTAGTTCGACCCATTTTTTTGTTTTAATATAATTTTTAAATAAAATAAATGATGTAATTACTTTCTTACCCTTCATTAAATAAGATGAATTACAACCACCAGATTAAAACGTAAATGAACGGTTGATATTGAGTTAGTGGATCCCCTTCGTCATTTGATACTACCCCGAATCAACAGGGTAACTTATCAAGATGGGAAAATTACAAACTGATCACTGTAAGTGAATAAAATAACAAATAGGGATTACAACAGTGACCAATCCCCTACATTGCTAAAGCAGCATTATTTTTTGGAAAAAATCCCAAGTTACACATGTTTTTAAAAAAAAATTCTCAAAATACACACGTTATGAAAATAATTCCCAATCTACGCATGTTTGGGCCATCACCGCTGTCGACAAAGACAGTGATTGCATCACTGCAGTACACGGCCGCGGTGAAGGCCTAACCTGCGTCGAAACTTTAAACAAACGTAACTTTGTGCTCGGTTATCCGATCGTAGCGAAATTTTTTTTGTTTCCGCATAATTTTTCAAGATCTTGCAAGCCGCAAATTGCCGTAGGCGGCTTGGTCCCGCCTTCGTCTCGAAAATATGTCGTTTGCAACCCCGAACGAGCCTTTTTTCGATTTCGTCAAACTTTGAACGACCATAACTTTGTGCTCCACAATCCGAAAATCATGAATTTTTTTTTATTTCGAATAATTGTTTAAGGAATACAATTTTTATCATAGACATATTTTCGGAATGTACGTGGATTCCTGAAAAGGAAGGTAAAGTTATTCCCAAAACCCCTTATATCCATAAATAATTCATTTTTTGAAAATTCTCTCCTACTAAATATTGTAGTCCTTAAAAAGTTATGCGAAATCAAAAAAAATTCATGATTTTCGGATTGTGGAGCACAAAGTTATGGTCGTTCAAAGTTTGACGAAATCGAAAAAAGGCTCGTTCGGGGTAGCAAACGACATATTTTCGAGACGAAGGCGGGACCAAATCGCCTACGGCAATTCGCGGCTTGCAAGATCTTGAAAAATTATGCGGAATCAAAAAAAATTTCGCTACGATCGGATAACCGAGCACAAAGATACGTTTGTTTAAAGTTTCGACGCAGGTTAGGCCTTCACCGCGGCCGTGTACTGCAGTGATGCAATCACTTTCTTTGTCGACAACATTGATGCAATCACTGTCTTTGTCGACAGCAGTGATGCAATCACTGTCTTCATCGAAAGCGGTGATGCAATCACTGTCTTCGTCGACAGCGGTGATGGCCCAAACATGCGTAGATTGGGAATTATTTTCATAACGTGTGTATTTTGAGAATTTTTTTTAAAAACATGTGTAACTTGAGATTTTTTCCTTATTTTGGCGACCCCTGATTTCCAATTTGCCTTTCTTGTCCTTGTAGAATTTAGATGATTGATTAATACAAACATTCATTCATTAAGAAAACTTCAATAAGTTAAACAATAAATTGCACATGCATGGACTTTATTTTGTTATTGCGCCCTTTTCTCCTTCTTCTTTTTTCTTACCATGTTTCTTTTCTCACTTGCAATTAGCTGATAACCCAGGACCTCCATAGTAAAAATAACTCCCCCACTCGCGACTAGGTTTCTGCACTTGTATATCGTAACATTCAGGCCTCGTCGCCTGGCCTGTTATATCCTTAGCATCTTCCAGGCCTCCACCATCGACTATGTATTGCAGGTTCTTAAAATAAGCAGCTCTGCTATACGATTCACTGGGGAAATGCCCACTACCCATTTGGGTCGATGTGTGAACGCCTTGTGGGTTCGAGTTAATGACTTCTCCTCCCCATTCTATCAGACTTGCAGGTCCCCTTAGTCCGCCATTGAAGAGGTTGGGCGGCCAGTAACCCAAGTTTTGACCTAGAACATTCACCCACCAGTTTCCTTGACCATCCTGCAAACCATAGAAAACAATCTCAATAATTATTTTATGACAAAATTGTTACGGTAATGTGACGTAGGGGATGACGTTTTTACGGTTTTCTTATAAAGGAATAAAACGTAAAGAACTCTCAAAGGAAATAACTAAGGAAATAGCAAATAAAGAACAAAATCTAACTATTGGGTTCCAATCTTCTTATTTATTAAACGAAAGACCAAGTACATATTTAAAGTCACAAAGCCTCTACCTTTACCTATCTAGATTATGACTCATAAACCTCTAAGGATATTACTAACAAATAACCAAATCCTATACGAAAAAGGAAAACAATAATAAAGACAATAATAATAAAAGCCTAATAATGTACTAATAATAAAATAATAAAGATACGCAAGTCCAGTCTCCTACGAATTGCTATGATAGCCCAAACTCGTAACAAAATGGGGTGGGGAAATAATGTCTTTATAAAGGGAATGTAGACATGGAGATTGCTAGGTTTGATGAGTATGAGATAATTTTTGTTTCTCATGCTAGTCCATCGTCTCAACCGTGCTAAATTTAAACGTAAGCTCGTAATACTTGATCACTGATGTTATAGATATATTTTAAATTTACACATGCATACAGTTTGTTGTTATCTTTCCTCCTGTTGGATGAATATGAAGAATTACCAGGAAAAAAAAAACCTTGAGCAAAAAATTAACCATATAGTTTTGTTACCCTGTAGACTTTTATGCCCATTAGGTGCTGCTCGCCACCATAAATAGAAATTGGGGTTAGAAAGGCACCAAGCGCAATCTTCCGATTTGTCTGAACAAAGCCGCTGCAACGCACATTGTAACATCCCGTGTTGTATCCATCAGCCTGCTCGCAAAAACTCAGAGATTAATAATATGTTTATTCATTCACAAATAATATATTTGTATTCATCGACATAATCATATAGATGTTCACTGCAAAAAAGTAGACCTAGCAAATTACAATCCGTTGGCCCGACTCGAACCTGCCCGGAAATAGAAATTTTTATAATCTGAAATCTGAATGATCTTAACCCGATTAATCTGTGATTTTTTGGATTGGATTGAGTGGGTATCATGTGTTTCTTGTAGCAATATTACTCTTGTGATAATTTTTTGACGATTTGTACAATTTTTATTTCATTGCATTAGCATGGGATGATTTGAGAATATGTTGGTTGACATATGTTATGTAAACTCTTGTCATGAATAAGTGAAGAATTTTGTTCTTTAAGAAAATATGAAACATGTTTGATATTGTTTCTGAGAACGCTCATAACCAAAACGACAGTACCTCAACCCGGGAAAAAAAAATTGCAACCAAAATCTGGTGGCTAAAAGAAGGAGCACTCGTTGCCATATTGGCGGCAATGTCGCTGCCTCGCTGGTGTTCGTTACCTTTTTTTATCGCTCTAAATGCTTTTTAGTTTTTACTCTTTTATATATACGAACATTTCATTTTAAATTCTAAATAAAACTTCATAAAATTTACAAATGCTACGACACTCTGAATTAATGTGTCCAAACCCGCCGAGAATTTTAGGGTGTGCGACAAACTCGGCTATAATTTACATGATGAGTTCTTCAAGGGTGAAAAAATAAGTAATAGGCATGAAAATTTTGTATCACTTACGGTCCAATATACGAAGATGGTGGGATGATTGGTAAACGCCGTGACCTGCGTATGAGTGGATAATAACAAACCTAGTCATGAACTTATATTTAACCAAAACAAAAGTACATTCATCTTAACTGTTTTTCAAAATTATCATGACTACTACTTCTCAAACTCTATATATTTGTTCTTGAATTTTATAGAAATTAAAGGTCACTCTTCATTTATAAACCCAATTGCTGAAAGGATTAACGCCAGCATAAAAACATTCACCGAGAGAGATAGAGGGACTAACCATCCAGCCAACCTCAACTGAGTCAATATCTTTCCCACCGCCATCTGTAACCCAGAACTGAGATGCACTCAATTCTTTTTTCAGAGTTTTTGGGTTCCATACATTGATTTCTCCAAGTGCTCCATAGAAATTGGATCCAGGTAAAAATGCTACAGCATACTGTAATCATGCATACAACTCGAATTATTTATACGAATATCCGACATGTAGATATGTATCATTAAACAAAGCGAAACAAATAACCCAATTCGCTCTCCAAAAACGCGATTTTTTAATCATGAAAGGCTTAAAAATCAGGCCAAGAATGTTGCATTGATGAGTCAAAACGGTACAATGAAGACATTTTTGTGTTCGATTTTCTAGCTTGTGTAGACTACTTAGACATGGACAAGTACGTACCTCGGCTTTAAAGCCTGGTGGCGCGAGCGAGTTGTTCGTTGTAGATGCCAAAGGATGTGTATGCTTCTTTGGGAAATCCTCGTCTAACGATCTTAAAATCGGGATGCTTCCCTCGGGACAATACTCTCCTTTTTTGTGCCAACTTTGAATGTTCACCTCCGAGGAGCTATTCGAGGGGAATGTGCTCTTTGGTTCGAGTCCAATCGGGTACGAGCTAGGTTCCATCTACAGGGGAAGAAATTACTCATTCGCGAACAATTGCCAAATTTTCAATCTAGGTTATTCATATAGGGCAACTAGTAGCTAGCTAGCTAAGGAAAAATTGGAATTACTTACTTGGAGAGTGTGATTCCTGAGCCTTGGATGGCTGAAAGCCGGTTGCTTGTAGATATCCACACAATCAATAATCTCGCCCACTTCGCTCTGTTCAAATTAAAAGATCGAACTTGGTAAATTCATAAAAGTAATCTGAATTAATAAATTAAATAACGAGCGAAGTTTGAAACATGATACATGAATTATGTAGTCGATAGAATTCTCGAATTTTTTTTATGGTCGTGAAGAATAATATATGAATGATGAAATGAAAATATTAGCTAACCTCTATGGTTTTTAATATGCTGGTAGGATCAATCAGTAACGTATCATCTATAATCCCACCATTAGAAACGCCCAAAGCAAGATGTAGAGATGATAGAAGGAGTATCACTATCCAACTCTTGGATGGCATAATTTTTTTATTCTTAGTACTGTTCTCCATGGCAGAGGCCATACAAAACAATCTACAAATTAAATGATATTTTTAAGGGAAATTTTCTTGTACATATATATAAGACTCGTGAGATATATATTTCTTGTTTTTATTCAATGCATTTTGGAATGTAATTTATAATGGTATTATCTCGTACTTTGAATTCGCAACTATCCAGAAAACCAACAAATATAGGGAGTGCACCAATTTTTATGATCTTGTTATGCAAAAGAGATATTATTTCCTTATGAGATTCAATGACATGAAATAAATTCTTTCCACCATTGTTTTCTTAAACAAATGTAAGTTAGATTCTTTTAATTCAGCCATTTTTTTCATAGAGGTGTACGCTGAAAATAATTATGATATTTATGAAATATATATATATATATAAAATATAAATTAAACTTTGAGAAACTGATGAAGACGTGAAGATTGGATGACCAATTCAGGATTTTGTTCTTACCATGAAAACGCGGTAGTTCGAAGTCGTCACTAAAGATCGCGACCAATGACGGATGGCTCCTGCCAGTCTGAAAGCTATGTGAATGGTGGTGAAAGTTGATTTTCCGGCAAAGGTCATTGTTGGCTGGAAATCACTAGAATGACCCACAATCCACTTTCGCATTAGAGTCGTTACTTTATTTATCCCTAAACATTGCACTAATTTTACTATTATCGTCCTAACTTAAATCATAAAATTACTACATTATTCAAACCTAATTCAATAAAACAAAATGCCACTAAAAATATCCCTCCTTCATCACCGAATAATCAGCGCCGATCAGCACCACCCAGCCACGATCGTCGTCGGTCGATCCACCAATGTTCGCCTTCATCCGCTCCCCGACCACCACGCCGGCGCTGCGCCCTTCCTCTTCTCCTCGGATGTCCGAACCAACTTCCGTGGCCGCCCTCCCTGACGTTGTGAAAAAGGTAACTTAGCAAGAAGTAGAAAAAATGACCTAAATCCCTAATAATCCTCCTTCTTCTTCCAAAATGTTGTCGGTACAATAGTTCATTCGTTAATTGGGGTTGCCCATGGATGAAAAAATTTGTTGTCAAATTCATTAACCCCATCAATTTGAAACCGTAGGTGATTAAAGAAGTTGATCGGTGATTGGAAATTTTAGTGGAACAATACCCGTCTGAATTAATCAGTGTCGGCCGGCGGTAAGTGGGAATAAAATAAGTGATGTTTTTAATTGGGAATAAAATATTGTTAACGATTAAAAGAAGGAAAAAAAGTCATCTTAATTTGTAATTTAGGGCAATCAGTAAAATCTAGGACGAGAATTAGCAACTCCCTATTCATCCTGTCAAATGTTCTAATATCTTCTAACCGCACTACCCTGATTGTTGATGTCAAAAACAGGAAAATAAAATACTTTTGGATTGAAAATAGAGATACTATAGCCATAAAAATACCAAGCTTTGGCAAAACTGTCATTTATATTCCAAAACTTTTAATAAGTGCATAAATATTATTTTTCCCAAAATTTTCATTGACTATCAAAATTAACAACTGACCTAATAAAGATCATAACATATCTGACCATTGATTATGTGGTGTATGTTAGTGAGCGGTATAAAATTCATTATTTAACATCTCTCACCAACTCGAATTATTCGGATCAACTAATTTTTAACATGATATCAGAACCTTCTGTAACCGAAAGGCTTATATTCGAAGTCCAACTACCAATTCACTCGGACTCAACTCTCTCCAACAGTTGGTTAAGACAACGGCGTGTTTTGGTTTGTAGAAAAATGATCAGAATTCAAGCATTGACCTTGAATAAGTTACAAAAAGCACACAAGATAGGAATTATTATTATTATTATTATTATTATTATTATTATTATTATTATTATTATATTTCATTTTTTTTTTCCTCCTTCCATTTTCAGTACTTGCAGTATCGGGAGAAGCCAGGACCCCCATAGTAGAAGTAAGCGCCGTAGTCCGTATCGCTCTTCTGCACCGCCACGTCATAACACTCCGGCCGCGCCGCTCTCCCCTGAAGTGTGTCGGCGTCTTTGGCCACCCCGCCTCTGGTCAGGTAGACCAAGTTCTTGAAGAAAGCCGCCTTCCCAAACCCTTCGCTAGGGAAGTGGCCGCTGCCCATGTCGGTACTGGTGTGGAACCCGGTCGGGTCGGAATTCACCACCTCTCCTCCAAACTCCACCAGGCTGGACCCGCTCTTCAAACCGCCGGTGAAGATGCTCGGCGGCCAGTATCCTACTATTATACCTTGATAGGTCAGCCACCAGTTCCCGGTCCTAACATCCTGCACCACACACCACCACCAACAACAGCAACAATAATAAACTCATGAGAACCAGCTCGCGACCCGCACGCGTCACAATAAGTCGTTCATGTTTTTTTTTTTTTTTCGTTACAACGTATTCTGACACGAGATCTCTCGATATATAAAGAACATCACGACATTGTATTGAAAGTTAGTTCGTCCTAACACACACATCGAAAAAAGAAAGTGTGCCCCAAATTTTTAATTTCAGAAAAGATAATGAATTTGGTACCATTTTGTTATGCATATACAAATGAGGATTCTAAACTTGAGGAATGCTCCTTACTGATAGAGAAAAATAAAAGCTATTTTTTTTAGCTGTTTAGTCAGTATCATTTTGTCTCATTTCTGTTTGGAGTACATAGATGCAAAATAAAATTATCAATAATTTTTTTTATTTTTTTTGGTGGGAAAACGGAGTGTTACGGGTACCCTAACCGTCCATCATTAATCAGACGAGACGTTCCCACCGCAATAACATTAAAATACAACCAATAATTCAGAAGAGGATTAGTCTCCTCCTCCATGAGATGGAAACCTAATGTTAGGTAGTCGGCAACGAAGTTGCCTTCTCTAACAACATGTACCAGCCTAACCTGCCAGTCGGCAACGAATTTTCAATAAATTTAATTATGTAGATATATTTAATGTATTTATCATTTCTGTGTTTATAAATACGATTAAAATTACCAAGGCTATTGTCATCAAAGAATTACCAATAGATTGTATTAAAAAAATGCCAACAGATAAAAAGTGGGGGGAAATCGCATATACAAGAGTTCTCATTCTATTCTTTATACAGTAAATAGATCATTACCCTGTTGATTCTTATGGTGATCTGTCGTTGAGCGCCACCATACTTGGAAAAAGGCTCTATTCGGCCACCAAGCACAACCTTGTTACTCGTTTGCACAAAACCGCCGCAGCATAGGTTGTAACATCCGGTCGATCCATATCCGTCAGTCTGGTCACGAAAAGTCCGGTGAGATCAATACTAATTAGCCACTGAGCCGAAAGAGTCGCCGAAATTAAATTCCGTATCTTGCATATTGTAACCGCTTTTCGGTCACAAAAGCTGCATTTTATTTTTTTGTATAAAGTTATTTTTCTGAATGAACAATCAATGGACATTAATATAGATCACTTACGGTCCAATATATGAATAAGAGGGGAAGTTTGAAATCAGAAGTGACCTGCACATAACGAAAAACTGATCACGGATATTTCCAGTGTTGAAAATAATTTAATTATGAACCCAAAAAATATTTTTTCTTGTGTTAATTGTCGACCTCAAAGTACGAATGGGTGTTATAATTTAACCGAATAATTCGAAAATTGAGGTATTTCAAAAGGAAAAGAGGGAGGCATTATTATTATTTTATTATTATTAATTTAGACAGACCAGCCAGCCAACTTCAAGAGTGTTGATCGCTTTGCCTCCGCCATCGGTGACCCAGACTTGAGCTGCACTGTATTCTTTTTGCCAGTTAACACTTGGATTCCACACATTGATATCTCCAGTTACTCCTTGCACATCCTCTACCGGCAAAAACGCCACAGCGTACTGAAATAAGTTTTTTTTTTTCATATTCAATTAATTAGTACCAATTAATTTAATTAGGTTGTCAATGCCATGACAAAGAAATAATATCATAGGTATACGTATACCTCCCTGATGTTGGACGGTGGCTTCGATCCGGATTCCGAAGGATCTTCTTCATGGCCCCAATGACGTGGTGTCTTTTGTGGGAAATCCTCCGTTGAAGATTGCAAAATTGGGATGGTTCCCTCTGGGCAAAACTCTCCTTTCTTGTGCCAACTCTGAATATACTGCAAGCCCGAGGACGAATTATTCGAGTAGCTCCTCGATTTCACTCCAAACGGATCCAAATTCGTGGGTCGCATCTGGGAAAAAAATATATGAAATAGAACAGTACTTAAATGCTCATTAAATGTGGTTACTGAAATCAAATTTCACCGTCTTATGATAAAAAAATAAAAAAAATTTTGTGGTATACACGCGTGCGTACGTACGTAGCAGTTTTTGAGATTGTATTCAGTTTTACCTGGATTGTGTGATTTCTGAGCTCCGGATGGCTAAAAGCCGGTTGCTTGTAGATATCCACACAATGAATCGTTTCACCGTCTTCCTCATTCTGTGACAACAAATAACGAGACACCCATTAGAATATCGTTTCTCCTTTAATTAATTTGTCTCACAAAAAATAAGGTAATAAATCTGTTCAAATTAAACAAAAACTTATTCATCATCATCAGTACTAATTAACCTCAATGGTTTTCAGTATGGTCAGAGGATCAAGGAGCCCACAGCCGTTGGCTCCCAAAGCCTGGAGGAGAGGTGATAGTACTAGGAGGAGAATCGTTATCCAACTCGTGAAACCAGTCATTGTTTTAAGAGTTTTAGCAGAAGTCTCCATGGGCAGAGATTGCAAGACAAATTGTACATAAAAATGATAATGGATTTACACTTATATATAAATCTCTTGACTAGGCTTCGAGTTCTTGTTTCCATATAATTTTAAGGCCACTACATTATACTCTCCAAAAGTTTTGAATTTTCTTTTGTTATATAGAAAGTTAGCTGTACAATGGATAATTGTCTACTACTATTATTATTATTATGATCTTCCTTTAAAAGAATTTTATTGGATTTTTATTGACTAAAATGTTATTTTTAACCAAAATATTGGATATTATATTTTACGAAATGGTCCATAATTATAATATTCCTATCTATGCATCTCTACACATCCTCCTATAATATATGATAGAGTTTTGCTTACAAGCCTTTTGAATTTCCTGCAACAAGAGTAAGGGGTCGTTTGGAGAATGAGTTTAAATCTATAGATTGTCAACAATCTAAAGATTCTGACTCTTCGAATTGTTGAAAATAGATTTTAAAATGTTTATTGTTTGGTAACTGTTTATTGTTTATTGTTTTGAAGAGTTTTCCTAGAAAACCGCCTTCGTAGCAACTTCGAGCCTTTTGTTTGAAGCCTTAAAGATATCTAATCTTTCATCCAATGCCTTTTCTTTGTAGAAAAACATACCTAATTTAACATAGTAGAGGCCCCTGGACTCGAATCGCATCCATACTTCTCAAATTAAGCTCCAAAGTAGGCTTCACAAACACATTCCCAGACTTGAGCCATTTTCAGGCAGTTTCCCAGTTTTGGCATAGCCTTTTGATCGGGTTCAAAAATGGTCTTCTGGACTTCCTATCGAGCTCCCAAGTACTTTAATGTGTAGAGGGACACTTCAGCTTCAAAACAAGCCATTAATCTCCAATTTCCATCTAGCCAATTGTAAGATATGAATCTCCAAAGTAGGCACCATAAAACTGTTTTTACACTGAAAGAATAGATTAGGTCGACCTAATCCTATATGAGGTCGACCGGAAAGTACATGTCACCGTAGCAAAGTCCTAAGATTTATTTAATCTCAAAATGAAAACAAACGATTCTGATTCGTTATAATTATCCAAGTAAAAATAGTAGGGTACAAAACCATTATTTTGATTATATAAAAAAATAAAGCAATAAAAGATATTCTGAATACATGATACCATCTAAGACAAAAAAAAATTGAGTTTTCAAGCACAACCTTTTCATTCAAGTTATCGACAAGATAAACTTCGTATTTGTAATCATTAACAAAAGCGGTGAATGCATAAATCTTATGTTTGAATGTTAATTTATTAGTAAAAAGAATAGTGAATGCATGATACAATCTTTAAATGCAAAAACAATGAGAATGATAGTTAAAATGTACAAGGATCGAGCTATTATCAAAGTCATAATATATCTAACTTATTTTTTGTTTTCTTCTATAACAAAAAAAAAAAGAACACACTCAACAAATTCAAAGATGGAGGACGGATGAAGAGAGAGCCTCCGACATTGAATGTTCCCACTACAATAAACTCTCAGCACGTTCGAGTCAAGAGAACAAGGAGGAGGAAGAGGAGATGAACGAGACTATAGATTTGACTCTCTCAGAAGAAGTTTCACTTCTTTCGAGACATGGAGAAAACATGTCCCTCCCTCAAAATTTTCACTATGGTAGTCTCATTTTCTCTTTTGTTGCTTGTTCTTCAAACAACGACATTCCTTATTCTTCTCTTCTCCACCATTTGACAATAACCCTCACCCTTTTCACTATATTATTTTTTTCTCTCATCTACTAATTGACAATAACCCTTACTCTTTTCACCTCATTCCTTCTTTCTCTTCTCCACCAGTTGACAATAACTCTCACCCCTTTCACTACATTCATTCTTTGTCTTCTCCACCCATTGACAATAACCCTCACCCATTTCACCACATCCCTTCTTTCAACTCTCCACCAGTTGACAAGAACCCTTACCCCTTTCAACACTTTCAGCTATCACCCACCCTGTTGCCTTATGCATTACAATTGAAGAGACTTTCTCTTCCCTCTACCAAATACAGAAGCTTGTAGGGCGCTAGAGTTCTTTATAATTGAAGCGAATGCAGCTCAAATAATGACGATAAGAGCGTAAGAATGGTATAAAGGGTACTATTTGCTGGAAAATGATTTCCTCCTAAAATTTAATGCATTGAACTTGGAATGGATGGATGCATATAGAGAGGCGAACACATGATACAACATCAAGATCGTAAAAAAATACGAAATCCAACTGTCGCATAAAAAGAAGGTCAAGCTTGTCACGAGAAAAATAGCACGAAGTCTCCCACTTGGAGATGGATGATACATTTTTTACTTCTCATACATTTGATATTTGTTTTTCTATTTATCTATTGAGCATGCATGTATTGAAAGTTTTGGAAACGGTCTCTTAAAATTGGAGCACATTTAATTTGCTTTGTTTGTTGACTAATATGAAACTACTGTGTTTGCTCATTTTCTTCAGCTATTACTTAGACATGGATGCCTCCCCGAGGTTGGGTTACGTGTGGAAGGGGGCAATTCTGAGGGATGGGGAT